TCTCCATTAAACAATGGATTTTTGGCAATTCTTCTATTCATCCTTCTAGAACCCTAATTTGTAAAGCCAAATAGAGCTAGAACAGACAAGGATTGAGATGACATCTTAGAATCAAATCCTCATTTAGTTTGCACTTATATGTCAACTGGCCTGAATAATGTTGATTACACTATCCGCTGGAGAGAGGGTTAGCATCCAGAACAATTTGGGTTTTGTTTGGTTTCATCATGTTACCAGTTACAAACAACACTCTCAGCTTCACAATCAGTAAAGTTTTACAGCAAATTTAAATCTTGGTCCTATAAGAGTAATCTCAGAATCCAGTTGTTTCTAAAATCCGAGTGGTTGCAGGAGGCCCACAAACGTCTCTGGTCTCCAACATGGTCTACCCACACAGCAAGTCTGGGGAGCTGCGTCCTTGTGACTGCAAACAGCCCTGGAAGCCCTCTACCACATCTCCATATGGGCTTTTGTTTGTTTGGGGTTTTGTTTTACAGAAAGGGAAGTTCTTTTGTGCAGAGTTGTATTGGGCACCAGCCAGTAACTCAGAAGGACCAAAGTTTTAGCTAAGCGCTATCCATTTTATGATTTTGCAGACAAATCACAGGAAACTGCTTAGAATTATTATGATTATTTTTTGTTTTCTCTCCCTGGGTACATCACATATCACTGAAAACGCCGGAAACCCACGGACTGACTGCAAGAGGCTCTAATTCCCATGAGCAAGTTGTCCTTGGGCCCTGATTGTCACTTGCCTGTATTTTATTTATCTCACATCTCAGCAAATACAGTATTACTTCTCCAATAGAGTAGGTTTGTGATAGCATCATTCCTCGGGTTATTTATCATACATATCTGTAATTGAATTACCTATTGCAGTAATGGGATTTACTCTCAAACATACATAAAATTGCAACATAAAATAAGATTGTTCCAGTGTGTGTGTCCTCATCATTCTGCATGAACTCTAGGTCGGCCAATTTCACAAAGAATACAGTGACAAATAATGAATGAAAGACAGGAAGATAAAAGATCAGTGGGTTCACAGCCAAACATAAAAGAAACGCATCCTCTAAGAAATGTATTCTTTCATAATGTTTCTTTCAATGCTAATCAGGAAGACAATTCTAGTACACGTGGAGGAAAAGAGTAAAAATGCAGTGATTGTACTCTTTCCAAATGCATAATAAGTACTATGAAAATATGTTTAGATCTTAGGAAAGTGGGTTTGCTCTTGTCAAACAAACAGTACTCTTACACACCAAAAAAAAAAAAATGCTCTGGCCTTTTTGAGCTCACTTTCTAACACCCTGCTCCTGGTGACACCTGACTTGTCGTTGAGGTGCCTGGCTTTAAAAAACCCTGTGAAACGGAGAGCCAGGTTTCCTAAGTTCTGGGATATTGCTAATGGCAAAGATTGACTGTATTAATACCCATATGTTAAAGTAGTGACTTCTCTTGGAAAAAGTTGTCCACTTGCTTTCATCTGTTTAGTTTAAATTCTGAGTTATTAAAAGTGAAAAGTTTACGTATATTCTAGCTTACTTTAATTTTTTTCCTCTTTTTTTCATGATCTAAAATTAATTTTGTGTTTCTAGGTAGCCAGTATCTGAAAAATTCATCAAAGAAATAAGTGATAACATTTCCCAAACATACTACCAGCTGCTTCATGAAACTGCTTCCCAAAGAGCTAGTCCTCACCTGTTGAATATATCTCCATGATGCCACCAATCTGCAAGAATCCGAAACAGCAGATTGCCCCCTAGCTATGACAGATCATTTCTGCAGGGCAGCAGAGTGATAAAAACCAGGAATTTTCAACCAGACTTCTTCATCTTAATTTAGAAACTTTACTGGGAGCATATGTGTAAATGTCTATTTTGTCAACAAGAGAAGACAGCATACACAACTTAAAGCACTCATTTGAGGAGTCGAGAAAACAGTTAACTTTCACAATATGAATCTGCAAACAGATGCAGGTAGGATGAAAGGTCCCCTTTAGACACTTTGCACTTTATTGTAACTCAATTTGTTAGACACTGTAATTTACGTTTTAAACATTATTGAATACTAAACATTAAAACTTGACACCTTGGTACTATAATTATATCCTAAGCAATTTATCTGGGTAACTATAGCAACAATTTCAAAAACATTTTAAAAATTTTTAAAAATTGGTATAATTTTAGAAAGAATTATAAAGGATTTAATGCAGGATGTAGGAATGCTTTTCTCAAATAGTTGTGCCTATGCTACTACAAAAATATTTGACTGGAATTTATTACAAAATAATTAACTCAGTCTACCTCACACACCATGTGACTTGGAGTCCAAACCTCTTTCTTGGGATTAGTTTCTGACCTTTGTGAAGTCTGGACTTCTTGATCACTTATTTACCTTATTTAGCCTTTTTATCTTTGGCTGGATATTTATCAAAGTTCTACTCTCCTCTCCTCCACCTTCCTGTATGTGCATCAGAGGCAAAGCCTCAATTTCAATGACTTCATGAGAAGAAAAACAAGGACATTTGGAATCCTTATAAACAGTCCCCACGTTAATTAAAACCATGCAATGGTTCAGATAGGCAGTTCTCCTGACATCAGGAATGGCCGACAGTCCCCAAGGAGCGGGCATCTATTTTGAGCAACTAACACACAAGAGAGAGGAAGTTTCATTGGTCTTATCTTTTGTCCCCCAGAAAGACACTAAGGGAGACTCTAAAGCCAAATTTCTTATAGATCAACGAACAGGCTTCAGATGGCCCAGCAACCCTCTAAAACATATGCAAAAACTTGCAAGAATGTGCTTACATTTACTTTAGTCTCATCATCATTAAGTTTTAATAGTCTCTGCACTAGGTCTCCATTTCCTTCGTCTCAGACATGGTGAAGAAATCATTTGAAAACAGCAGTAAAGAACACAGATTTATTTTTACCAAATTCTGAACATCTCAAAAACTTCCTTTGGACAGAAACAAGCTTTCCCACCCAGGGACCAAAGACTGCTCACAGCAAGGATCTTGCAGCTGTTTGTCATTAAAACACTAAGTAAGCTAGTACAATTTATAAAAGGCATAAAATGATTAGCATCATCCATCTACTTCCTATTAAGAAAAGTACCAGTTGGCTTAAAAAACAAAAACAAAACAAAACAAAAAAACATGTAAACTAGGAACCAGTTCAGCAACGCCAGAGTCCCACGAATATACAGTGTGTTCATGAGCAGCACACGGGATGAACTGCTATCTCAAAAGTTTTTACAAGAAACAAACTCAAGTGGCCAATTGCATTTAGGACTGCTTTTCCATGTAAACCAATATGAAGCAAGAAATCTGGGGGAATCTTTGTTTTTGGGGGGAGTAAACTCAGTCCCTGATATGTTACTTCAGTTTTACACCCTTAGAGTATTATCTGATTTCGCTGAAGTTTGCAAACAAAAGAAATTATGATAAACCTCACCCTCTCTTAAATAATGAAAATAGGATTAATTAATCCTAATTAAGTATTGAAAAATCTTTTCATTAAAGCCTGGTTTTGTCTTTCTGCATCTCCTCATGAAAGACTCTGTAATTAATAACGCATCTGCTGTTCTCAAACTCCACCGTTATGACAGCTCTTCTGGGTAAGCTGTGACACACAATCGTTTTTCTTAAAAATGAGCTGCAACAACTGTTTGCAACTCCTGGTGTTTAATGTACTTGTACGGAGCAGAACTTTATGTCAGTATTAAACGTAACTCTAAATACCTTCAATTTCTTTTTTATTTTTTTCTGGATAAATACAGTAGTCACAAGGAGAAAGACGAATGTGCAGGCAAGAGTTTGCATGAAAACATCTGTCTCTGCAAGAGACCTTTCTAGTTACAAGACTTGTGTCCATGTTCGCCTGTCATTTCTAACAAGGCAGAAAGCTTTCTGTGGCCAGAAGACCAGCTCCTTCCAGGCTCTGCCTCCGCCACGAAATTACAGCAAGAGCTGCCTGGTTCTGCTGATCGCTGCCTGAACCCCCCACCCACTCACCCAGGACAGGGCAACTGCCTGTAGCATCCATCCTCTCCTCCTCTCTGAGCGCTCGCTCTCAGCGCCCCCTGCCGGGGTTTTCCGGGACGCCGCAGGAGCAGCAAAGTTAAATCCCAACTCTGGGCAGCCGCATCCAGGTACAAAGCGACCAGGGCACTAGGAGGTGAAACAAGCTTCCCGCCAAAGCCCCGGGAATCGGGATCTGATCGCGCTAGGCCCAGCACTGAGCGCCACGGGCTGTGATACTGGGGAATCACTCCTCCGTCCCAGTCCTCTGCAAATCTTAGAAGGAACATTTCCTCTGGGGCAAGGAGCCAGGGAATGTTAAATCCGCAGAGCAGCGGAGAGATATCAACAGAAAAGGGGCTCGCCTAGTTGCAGCCCACTGGCAGGCGCTTCCCCAGGCCTCTGCATCTCCGCCTTAGTCGCCCTTATTAACCAAGAGCTTGGCAGAATTGCGCCCAAGTCCCACTGCCTCCAGGTTCGCGCGCGCTCTGCAAAGCCCCTGTAAACGAGATCAGGAAACGGTGCACCAGCCGGCTGGGCTGCTGCGAGGTGGCAGCTCCCCGGGAGAAGCCGCGACCGCCGGGCCCCCGGCACCCGACAAAGCAATACCGGCTGCTCGCTGGTTGCACGCAGATCTCCACTGCGCACCATTCGGAGGTGTCAGGCAGCGGTCCAGTCTCGCCCACAGCCGATTAGCCCACCACGATATTCCCGCTCCTTACCTCCACACTCTCAGACCTCTGCAAAGGCGAGAACACAAACTTCGAGCCCGTGCACTAGCTCAACTGTGGGCGCCCCCGCACTGATGGTGGTCCTATTCCAGTACGCGCAGCTACCAGGCTGTCCCCGCCCAGGTGCCTGCAGATCGACCCTATCCGAGATCTACACCACCCACTAGCCAAACGCTGCTGTCCCTGGGTCCCGGCTACAGGCTCAGTCCACCGCCAAGCGGGAATCGGGCAGGGAGCTCGCTCACCAGGTGCGGGGCGCGCTCCTCGTGCCAGTCATCCAGCGCCCTGGGGCCCGGAGCGGCTCCTCTTCAGCACCGTGAGAGAGAAGTGGAGGCAGCCACTGCTCTCTGCCACTTCCCCAAAGTCGCCCCCAAATCGTTGTGCTCCAGGCCGGTGACCCGCTCGACCTCAAGGAGCACAGAGTTCTTGGGGGCAGGGTCGACCTGCGGATGGGCAAGTTCGCGCCCAGCTCAGGCGACGAACGAGGGGGCAAAGTGGGGTGCCCGAGCCAGCTCCACGGGGTAGCTGCGAGTGGGAGAAGGGAGCACCCCGAGACCGGCTGTACTGGCCCGGGCGCCCCCGCGCAGAATAAGTGGAAGGCTGTGGCCACCGCGGCGCAGGGACCGCGGGCAGCCCGAGGCTCCGGAGCCCACCCGCGGCGGGAGGGCAGCGCGCGGGAGCAGGCGCAGCGAGAGAGCCGCCGCCGGCGCCGCCTTCCCGGCGAGTAGAGCCGCGCAGGGTGCGCGGGCGGGGAGCGCGGGCCGGGAGCGCGGGGCCGCTTCGCCCCGCCCCCGCCCCGCCCCCGCGCCGCACCTCCTCCTTCTCCTCCCTCCGGAGTGAAACCCGAGCGCCCCATCCCGCGCCTGACCTCCCCGGGCCCCTCCCCCGGGCCCGCCCCTTCCCGGTTTGGGACCCCTTAGAGCCGAGGGTGCCCCCTGCACCCCATGAGTTCACTCCTGCCTCCCAAGGGTAAGTTCTCCCGAGCGTTGACTTTTCAAGGACTCTTTCACCGGCCTCGCGGAGACCTTCCGTGGCTCCCCGCCCCCGGTCCCGTCCCTCCGACGTGGCTACTTTTCGGGGTGGGCAGTATAAAGGGCCGGAGACAGCGCGGGCCGAGACCCGAGACGTGGCGCGTCCGCCCTACCCGTCTAGGCTACAGGTACGTGAGCGTCCCGTAGTGGGATCGGTGCAGAGGGTGGGCGGGAGCCATCGGTCCTCTCGGACTCGGAGTTTGAGATTTTGTTCCTCTGTGACATCCTCTTGCGTGCTGAGCAAGAAACTCCTTAATGAAGACTGGGAGAGTCGCTGAGGGTTCTTGAAGGAGCAATTTGGGGGTGAGGCTCCCACCTAGTTCAGGCCGCTTTCAGAGGGGTTAAACCAGGGAAATGAACACTTGTGCCGGACCAGGGAAGCAGATCAAGAGATCACCAAATAGCCACGCTGAGCTTAGGCAGAGAAGCTCCATCTAGACCAAAGTCATCTCTTCCAATTCTGGGGCAGAAATTCCCTGTTGCACTTTTGCGAGATGTTTGGGCCTTGCTGATTAAACACTCCTCGGATGAGAAGTTTATAATTGGAAAACAAAGTACCTTTGAAGACTCCTGTAGCTTGATACTTTGTTGCAATTCTACAGCTTTTAAGGAGAGAGGTCAGCTTCTCTGGGTTTAAAACTGTGAAAATGGGCGAGTGTTAAAATAATAGGATAAGACAGTAAAACCTGGGTTCTCTGTCCTGTCCTGAATGGTCATGTGTAACCCTTTCCCTCAGGATGGGGGTGGGGGACAGTCTGCGTTTTTGGTTTTTTTTTTCCTTCCTTCTATGCTTCAAAGGATGGCTTTAAAGTGCTCCTGCCTAAGGAAACTATGAATGTCCTCTCTCAACCGCAGTAACATAAGGATGGCCGTATGGTCCATGTTCACACAGCCGCCTTTAGAGCCAATGCCAGCCCTTTGATGGGTCAGGCAAATACTGAGAACAGTCCTGTACATCCATGGGATTCCATTGAGTTTATCCATGAAACAAAGCGCCATTGCGGGTAGAGTGTGTCATAGCTCATGCAGGACAGAGCAGATCCAAGAGGAGGACAGTAGCATATAAGTTGCCATCAATCTGTCTTTATTTCCTATTATTGTTCTAATGAAAGAAGTGAAACACTTCTGAAGGCGTCCATATAAACCCATTCCATACCCAAATGCCTAGTCTCTCCAACTGGTGATGGGGCTGCCTCGGATGCTTGGGGCCACACTCTGATTTCCTTTAAGAGGTCTGGGAGGAAGTGTCAGTCGCTGGCAGCCCCCTTGGTAAGCATTCCTCCCTGAGCTGGGCTTCTAGCCTGGTGCGTGGTAGCTGCTGGCTTCTGGGACTTGAATGAAAACCTTAGCACTTTACTTTCTGTGCTGGGGGAGGGGGGGGGGCGGGCTCCATTCCGGACATTCCGCTTCTCTGGCCTACGTGGCACAGGCCTAGGAGCCTCTCTGGAGCAGGCGGCTGGCCAAGCTCTTGCCTGGATGCCTGGTGAAGGCGGGGGAGGACCTCTGCTTTATGCTGAACCCGAAGTCTCTCAGATGGGCAGCTCAGAGCTCATGCAGGGGAATGAAGACCGAAATGAGGACCAAATATATTTACCAAACTTTTCCTTGCCTCTTAAGGTAGCAGTTGAAAGCAGCCAACACTTTTTTTTTTCTTTTTAATTTAAGAAAAAGAATTTCTTACCAAACAGAGTTGAGCAGTGGAAACAGGACTTTTAACACTTAACTAGGCAAATTAAGTAATTTTGTGTAATCTGGGGAGTGGGGGGATTCAGTTTTGCTGTTTCAGGTTGTACTGAACCATCCTTAAAAGAATGTATTTTAGTGATAATTAACTACAAATTACTAATAATCAGCAGGGAAATAAATGATAATTTAGAGTGCATTCTTGGCTTAAAATGAAACGAGTGTCAGTTGAGGATTGCGTTTGACCTGGCTCTCTTTAAAATTATTTTAAAGTATACAGAGTTAGTTCCTTTTTCTAAATGAAATTTCCTTTCCTTTTTCCTTTGAAAAAGACTTGCTCACTTACATTAAGCTGCTTCTCATCACATTGTACAATTAAGGGTAGTCGTTTTTAAACAAAAACTGTTTAGTCCTCTTCAGAATAGAAATACAGTCCTCCCTAATCTGCTTCAGGTGAACCATGCACATGAGGTCAATGAATGAGATGACCAAAGCGACACATGGTGAAAATGATGAATTCTGGGGCACTGATTCATATGACTTGAAAAATGCCATCCATTTCCTGATTCACCACAATCTTTACTCTGAAATATAAAGCATCACTTGTGTCTCTGGACTAATCAGCCAATTCTGTCTTGTCTTTACACCCCTCTCTAGTGCTTGAATTTTGGCCATAAGGCTCAACTGCCAGCCCAGAGCCAAGGAACAGGGTGGGGGCTGAAGGAGCATCACCTGGAGGAGAGGCAAAGATGCTGCTGGGGACCACAAGTGCCCTTTAAAGGAAACCATGGGAGTGGTGGTGTTTAAGATGTGGTGAGACAGTATTAAAATTCTGGAGGGAAAAAAAAAAAAAAAACCTCAGTCCAAAATGTGTGACCTCTTTTCATTTACCTCTTAACTGGATTTTCCTAAAAATGATCGAGGCAAGTGTTACAATTGTCATCCATGCATTTCTCTTTTTATCCTTGGTTTCCTTCTTTTAGATCCATGGCATTTAAGAACTGAGAAGAAAAAGAAAAAAAAAAAAGAAACTTAAAAGGAAAAAAGAAAGCTTGATCATCTGAATTATCCCATCATTTTTTTTCTTAGCACAGCTAGACATTGCTTAAAAAAAAAAAAAAGTGAAGTTTGATGACTCAGTGTGGTTGCCTAGAGTTAGAGCTCTTTTTTTTTTTTTTCCATATACTATAAATGACTTGGAAGACTCATGATTGTGGCTATGGGTGACACCGTGATGTCCCCTAAGTTTTGACAGATGAAGAATCTCAAGATGGGGAGATTTCAGGGAACTCACAGCCCCTACTACATTCTCTTGAGCTTCACCAAGTTCAGTTTACGGTTCTTTTGCCCCAGGAAGCATCCTGGTCCTCCCATGCAGAGCTCACTCTCTCAGTGCTTACCTGTAAGCAGACCAGTTCTGTTCCTAAAGCAACAGCCCAGACTCTTTGAAAGAAAGTGGCCTTGGCACATTTGAGAATGACCACAAGTGGGCGTGTTGCAAAGCAGGAGTTCCTGGTCCCTATGCTGTGCTAGTCTGCACTGAAGACTCCATCAAGGTCCCTTCTCTGACATCTGATTTCCACCTGGCTCTACCCACGGCTGCCTCACCTTTCCCAGGTAGAGGGATGTGCTTTGTTGTTGCTGGTTGTTAAATGGAAGCTGATACAGAATGACCTGCCCTCACCATTCCAGGTGAGTTCTTCTCACCTATGGGTTCTCTTGAATTCATTTCCCAAATGAGAACCATATCCCCCGACCTCATGCCACATTCAAGAAAGCAACCCAGTTAAGTCCAGTGGCCAAAGCAATGAACAGCTCAAAATGCAACCACCCAAGCCTACATTCAACAAGACGTACTCACTATCAGTTACGGGGGATGTTTCATAGCAGGTTTTTTTTTTTCCTTTTTCTTTTTTTTTTTTTGGGGGGGGGTAGTATATAGCCATCCTTAAATTTTCAGTAAGACATTGTATTTTACTTCAGCTATATATACAGAAAACCAAAGTATTCTAGAAATAGTTTGCCTTATCTTTTGGGTTATATTTCTAGATATATTTTTCTAGCCACCCAGTTTCCTTAAGATAAAACTGGTGTCCTCAAAACAGCCCAAGTTGTCTTTTATAAGTTTGGTGCAGGGAAAGGGGAAAATGCTAAGTTTAAAAGATTTTTGGAATATCTACAGGAAATGCAGATGGTTTGTGGCATGAAGATAAAGCATCCGTATGGTTAGCTGAGTGTTATTTTCTGACATTGAGACTGGGATATATCTTAAGTGCCTATGAGTAAAGAATGGGTATTTAAAAAAAAAAGATATTTGACACTTATTAATCAATGTCATTTATATTCCTGACTTTGAAACTAGAGCTTTGGGAGGAAATAAGTACCTTTGTAAATGTACTTTCAAAAATCGTGTTCACCCTCCTTAGATTTAGAAGCACGAATTACTGTGTCTTAGTTTATTTCATCACTTACCAGGGAGATTAACTCATAATGACCTTGAATTCAATGAAAACAATATGTATGAAATTAAACCAAAATGTCTTCTGAAGCAAATCAGTAGGAAGAAGGCCATCAAGTATCCAAAGCCCTTCTGTCAAATCTCATTTCAGACCCCCCTTCTCATTCCCATTATTACGTCCTTGATTTAGCATGTCAGCTTCTCTCATCCAAATACCAACACCTCCTGCAGGTCTGCCTGCCGTCAATAGTTATTTCCCAAACAGCAGCATCCCCATCACCACCACGCACATACCAACCTTCATAACACTGATTTTATTTAAATTGCAAACTACCTGGCTTTAAAACAAGAACAAAGAACAAAGCTTGCTTGCAGCTAGGTGAGACCATGGAATTTCAGGATCACTAAGACAGGAAACAAGGTGGAATTTCTTGGAAGGCTTCAACTAACAGGGAATGATCTTTTCTGCCTTTCTTCCTGAAATTTGGTTGTGATAGGTGAAATTCCATGAGCCATCTTGAATTTCGAGGTGACCTTGAGGAGGAAGCTATGAGCCAAGGATGGTAGTGTGAAAGGAGCACCAATCAGTGGTGAATCTGTGGCACCTCCATCTCAGTGCTAAACCTCCTCACCCCAGACTTCACAACATGAGAAACTCTGCTCCATGTGCTTTATCCATCATCATTTCTGTTTTTCACATAAGAATGCACTTGCTGCTGAGTAGAATGAAGAGCAACACAGAACCATCCCTGCCCTTTTCAGAAACACCATGGAAGTAGATGTTAATTATGGAGCTGACACCTATGTGATTATAAGTCCTGATTAGTGCAATGATAGACAAACACACAGGGATCAGGGACTCAGGAGAGGCACCACTGAAAAAGTAGCACCTGAGTTGACATTTGGTGGAAAAGGAGAGACCAACAAAAAGGTGGGAAGATGGGAAGAGAGTAGACTCCAGAGGAGAGGAGAAATGTTGATTAACATTGGACTTTAATTCAAACACCCTTATTATGATAACAAAGGCAGTAATCATAATTGCAGAGAATAGCAATAAATAACAGTCAGAGGTCATTGCACACTACTATAACAAAATACCTTAAACTCAGTAATACATAAGTAATAAAAATTCACTTCTCATGGTTCTAAAGGCTGGGATCCTCCACAATCCAGGAGGCTTAGAGATGGTGAGGGCTTGGTCTGTGCCTTCATGATGGAACCTCGTTGCAGGACCTTCTGGAGGGAAAACACTGTGTCCTCCTATGATGGATAAGATGGAAGGGCAAGAAGGCCCAGCTAGATCTCTCTACCGCTTTTATAAAGTTGCTGATCCCACCCATGAGGACAGAGCCTCACAGACAGATCACCTTCTAAATGTCCCAGCTCTTTTAACTGTTCCACAGATGAGTAAATTTCAACATAAAATTTGAAGGTAGCACTTTTAAACCATAGCAATCTGCCCCTGCGTTCACCAAATTCATGTCCTTGTCACAGGCAAAATGCATTCATTCCATCCCAATAACCATGAACTTATTCCAATATCAATTTGAAGTCCAAGTCTCATTCCTCTAAATATCATCTATATCAGGTATGGGTGAGACTCAGGTAAGATTCATATGAGGCAAATCCCTCTCCAGCCGTGAGCCTGTACAATCAAGGAAGTTGTCAGATTCTGACATGCAGTGGTAGGACAGTTATAGGGCAAATATTCCCATTCCAAAGGGGATAAAAAGGCAAGAAGAAAGGAGTAACAGATCCCTACTAAGTCCTCTCACAGGTAAATGCTATTAAATCCAGAGGCTTGAGAATAATCTTTGTCAAACAGTGGGGTGAGGTTGGATCTATGAGGCTCCTAGTAGCCCTGCCCCACAGTATAGCTAAATATAGCTCACACATTCTCCTGAGTTGCAGACCAATGCCTGCAGCTCTCCTAGGCTGGCATTGCATGCTGTGCCTCTGCTGGTCAAGGGTGTTGAGCAGCCCTGCCCCACAGCTCCACTGGGCACTGCCCTAGTGGGTCATAGCAGTCCTGCCCCTGTAGCAGATCTGCCTGGGTCCTGGTTCTCCCAGGTCTCCATAGCTCTGCATTCTGTGCATCTTTTGAGTTGCACTGCAGAAACTCTGCTGAAGTTTGTCACTTGTCCCATTCATGAGGGTAGTTCAAGCCACACCTGGATCCACTCAAACAGCAGTTGGGACAGCTAAGGAGCACTATGCTAGAAAGCAGGCAGCTGAGACTTGAGCCAGCCGGGAGGTCTCACAGATAGCCTAGGTCTCCCTAAAATCATTTGTGCTCATGGCCCTGGCACTCTGGGTCTGTGATTGGAAGGATAGCTTTGAAAATCTTTAAAATGCCTAGGAAATCATTCTCCCCGTGGTCTTGACTAATAGCTTCTGACTTCTTCACATCTATACTCATTTCCTTACCCTAACTCACCCAGGCCTTCTTTCCTAAACATGTCTTTTTGTGCTGTAGAACATGGCCAGATTAAGAATGTTCTTAATCTCAAGTTCTACTTCCCTTTTGATTATAAACTCCATCTTTACTTTTTTGTCTTTTTTCTTGTGTTTTACCAAAAGCCATGCTGTACTCTGAACCCTTTGCCTAGGAATTTATTCTGCCGAAATCCTAGCTAATTGCCCTTTTTTTCTGCCTTCCACGAAGCGCTAGTATGTGGGCACAATTCAGTCAACTTTTTGCCACTTCATAAAAGGATTACGCCTTCTACCAGTTTCCAATAACTTATTCCTCATTTCTGTCTGAGACCTCATTCGGATGACCCTCATTGGCTGGATTTCTACCAACATTCTGATCAGTTGAAAAAACAACATGTACAACATACATGATGCAGCTAAAGCAATATTTATACAGAAATTTAGTTGTGAATGCTTTTATTAGGAAAGAACTTAAGGTAAACGTCCAACTCAAAAAGTCAGAAAAATAACTGGGTTAAAAAAAAGCAAAGTAGTTAATATCACATATCATAAAATAGACTATAAGGATATAATAGAAAGAATAACTCAAAAGCTGTTTTTAAAAGATTAGTAAACAGTAAAACCTCTGTGATGTATGAAACTTAGAAATGTTTAACTTTATAAAACTACAGAAACAATGACAGTGCATTTAGAAATATAGTCATTAAAGAAACTGAATAGTAAATACCAAGTAAAACAGAAAAACAGGTGTGGGTGGTTTTCTCAGAAATATTCAAGACACAATTATTCCTTATTTTACAAAATGTTTTCCAGTGAATAGAAAAATCTTAGACCAAATTCAAACATTCAAAAATGTTTTATCATTAGAAAAAAATGCAGGTATAAATCATATCATCAGCAGATTAAATAAAAATCATGTGATCATTTTAATAGCAACAGAATATGCATTGCTAATATTGAGCATGAATTTATCATTCAAAAAAACCTCTTAGCTGACTAGTTAATAGAAGGTAATTTACATAATTTAATAGACTATTTGCCAAAACCATCAACAAAAAACTTCATATTTATGGTGAAAACTTGGAGGCATTCTATTAAAAGAGGAGGCTTAGACCGGCATCCTTCTTAAGGACACTTCTCTTTAATACTGGAACAATTATCGAAAGGGGAGAACTTTTT